TTCCTATTAAAATTGCCAGGCAAAATCAATGAATTGATTAAGCGACTAAATAGTATTTACATATAAACTAGATAGAAACGCACAAAATTTTTTTTATTTCAAATCGTGAAAATTTCGATGTTCTAACTGAAGACGACATTTGCATGGGTCTTTAGTCTATTTTTTCTAGTCTTTATTTTCCAAACGAAATCTTTTCATGAAATTATTTCCAAACCAAATAAAACCTTATGGCCCAACCTGTCGTCGTTGCCTTAGTCTGTTCCACTTTAGTATTTATTAACTTTGTCATGGCTTACCCTGTAGATGGATATCTTCACGGTTTTAATCAGGCGTTGCCCTTATATGGAAATCTCGCTTTCAATTTGTTTTAACTCAAAATTGAAGACGACTTCTAGAAATGGAAAAGACGACTTCAACAGATGAAGAATATTGCAATTAATATGTCGAAATTGTTTAATTTATCGTAACTCTCCCTTTAGAATATGTAATTGTAAATGTTCTCCAAGAAGAAGTTTCCAAATTTGGTAAAATTTTAGAGAATTAACACAATTGAACAGGGATGTCCGCATAAACATGGGAATTGAGTGACGATTTTAATATCGTCTTTTTATATTAATGCTATTTCTTACAGTTAAACCCTTAATAACGAATACATCGGAAGAATTTATCAAATGTCGTCTTGACAATTTTTCAATGAGTTTTATACTACAGGGTGTCCTACGAAACATGACAGTATGCAGAACGACTTGAATGTCGTCTTGATTTTTGATATAATTTGCTGCGTTTATTTGTCAAACTAATTTTAGAAGTAAATTTCTAGAGATAATAATCACAAAATTTCCCTTGTCCTGCCATTTCCAAAATGTGGTCTGCCTTTTTTGTGCTTTCAATATTGCCAGAGATATGAAGAATTTCGTTCAGATTTCGACGATTTTGCTTTTATTTAACAAAATTGAAATCTGAACCAAACTCTTTATATCTCCGGTAATATTGAAAGCACAAAAAAAGCAGACCACTTTTTGGAAATGCCAGGGCTAGGAGAATTATGTGATAATTGTTTCAAGAATCATACATGTTAAAGTAGATAGAAGAATAAATGTCAAAAATAAATTCAAATACCAAAGACGACTTTCAAGTCGTCTTGCTATTGTCATGTTTCGTGGGACACCCTGTATATTACGTAAATTTCAGTATTTGCAAAAATAGATAAATATCCATGAATATGCGGGAACAGCTTTAAAGAATTCCATATAATCATTTAATTAAAAAACTAAATATCTGCAACATTCCATTATCAGACAGTGAAGAATACGACATTTGATGAATTCTTTCGATGTATTCGTTGTTAAGGGTTTCACTGTATCAAAGACGAAATCGAATTCGTTACTCAATTCCAATTCATGTTAATTGGAACACCCTCTATATAAATCTGTCTTATTCTTGGGAACAATTTGTTTGCATGTACAAGTGTACAATTGTACATTGTACAACATCAACAACGTAAAAGCAATTTATATTTTTGATTTATTCTTGAACCCCTCAAATCTCTTTTACCACTAATAAATCGCAATTTAACAAGAAATATATTGCTAATGAAAATAAGGCCAGGAACAGCCAACAGCAATTTTGTTTTATAATGAGACAATAAATATATTCTTGATTGTCACTGTAGAAGAAATCGGATGTTTTTTAATTTGAATTTTTCTAAGAATGTTCTAAAATAGCAAAGAAAACTTAGCGCAGCAATTTAAAACCTTTATAATAGATTTCTTTTGCTCTGCTTTATAACATTAGTGCGTTCATTGATATTACAGGGAGGTAATTTTTCCCAAATTAATTTGATCAAGTATGAATTATATATATCCCTATGTTTTGGTTTATTTTCATTTGAGGTTTCACAGGGTGACTTGCGCGTGTTTTGCTTCTAGAGAAATAATGGAGAAATCGACAGTAATAAACAGTTTTGGAGTCAGAAAAAAGACGTTATCTTCTATATTGTTATCAGATTAAGGTTTCAATGGTACCGTTGTAAATCAGGCAGGTACCGCGATCTTTGCATGAAGGTCACTTGAAATTACGTTAACAGTCCCTTTAAATAGATTTACACAAATTCTGTTGTAAAGAGATATAAATGTCATTCTTAAATAATATTTGTTTGTTTTTAACCTCCCATCGGCCCTCCTCCATCCTACAACATGTAAACTTTGTTTGTTTGTTGTTTTAAATATGTTTTAAATATGTTTTCTCTGTAAATACAAGAGCATCTGATCTGCACCGTGCTGAGTCATCGATACACTCACACCAGATTTCAACACTATTCAAAAATAAAATTTAAAAAACAAAAGATTTTTTAGAAAAATAGTTTTTTCAAAAAAAAATTTGACTAAATCTGTAAAGTCAGCTCACAGATTAAAACTTTAAAGGAACTAAAAGGAGTTAATCTTTCTTCATGGATAAACTCATCATATTAATTAAAATAATTTTATTTCCAAAAATTGTTTTTCTTTTGAGCAATAGAATAGGATGGATAACCTGCTCTAGCTGTTTTGTATCTGTTTAAAGTATACTGTGACTACATGTAATATATATACAAATATACAAAATACATAGTGTCATATTTCGGACAGTTAGAAGATCATTCCAGTTACACACAGACACTTTATACAGTGTGTCCCACTTGTATATATATATACAGATACTTCATACAGTGTGTTCCACAAGTATTCTTTACATATGTACTTTATACAGGGTATCCCAGTAGTATTCTTTACATACATACTTCATACAGTGTGTCCCACTAGTATTCTTTACATACATACTTCATACAGTGTATCTCACTAGTATTCTATACATAGAAACGTCATAAAGTGTGTCCCACTAGTATTCTTTACATATATACTTCATACAGTGTGTCCCACTAGTATTCTTTACATACATACTTCATACAGTGTGTCCCACTAGTATTCTATACATATATACGTCATACAGTGTGTCCCACTAGTATTTTATACATAGATACGTCATAAAGTGTGTCCCACTAGTATTCTTTACATATATACTTCATACAGTGTTTCCCACTAGTATTCTTTACATATATACTTTATACAGTGTGTCCCACTAGTATTCTATACATAGATACGTCATACAGTGTGTTCCACTAGTATTCTTTACATAGATACTTCATACAGTGTGTCCGACTAGTATTCTTTACATATATACTTCATAAAGTGTGTCCCACTAGTATTCTTTACATATATACTTCATACAGTGTGTCTCACTAGTATTCTTTACATAGATACGTCATACAGTGTGTCCCACTAGTATTCTTTACATATATACTTCATTCAGTGTGTCCCACTAGTATTCTTTACATATATACTTCATACAGTGTGTCCCACTAGTATTCTTTACATATATACTTTATACAGTGTGTCCCACTAGTATTCTTTACATATATACGTCATACAGTGTGTCCCACTAGTATTCTATACATAGATACGTCATACAGTGTGACCCACTAGTATTCTTTACATATATACTTCATACAGTGTTTCCCACTAGTATTCTTTACATATATACTTTATACAGTGGTCCCACTAGTATTCTTTACATAGATACTTCATACAGTGTGGCCCACTGGTATTCTTTACATAGATACAGTGTGTCCCAATAGTATTCTATACATAGATACGTTTAAAGTGTGTCCCACTAGTATTCTTTAAATATATACTTCATACAGTGTGGCCCACTAGTATTCTTTACATAGATACGTCATACAGTGTGTCCCAATAGTATTCTTTACATAGATACTTCATACAGTGTGTTCCACTAGTAATCTTTACTTTTATACGTCATACAGTGTGTTCCACTAGTATTCTATACATATATACTTCATACAGTGTGTCCCACTAGTATTCTTTACATACATACTTCATACAGTGTGTCCCACTAGTATTCTTTACATACATTCTTCATACAGTGTGTCCCACTAGTATTCTTTACATATATACTTCATACAGTGTGTCCCACTAGTATTCTATACATAGATACGTCATACAGTGTGTTCCACTAGTATTCTTTACATAGATACTTCATACAGTGTGTCCGACTAGTATTCTTTACATATATACTTCATACAGTGTGTCCCACTAGTATTCTATACATAGATACGTCATACAGTGTGTCCCACTAGTATTCTTTACATATATACTTTTTACAGTGTGTCCCACTAGTATTCTATAAATAGATACTTCATACAGTGTGTCCCTCTATTATTCTTTAAATTGATACGTCATACAGTGTGTCCCAATAGTATTCTATACATAGATACTGCATACAGTGTGTCACACTAGTATTCTTTACATATATACTTCATACAGTGTTTCCCACTAGTATTCTTTACATACATACTTCATACAGTGTGTCCCACTAGTATTCTTTACATATATACTTTATACAGTGTGGCCCACTAGTATTCTTTAAATACATACTTTATACAGTGTGTCCCACTAGTATTCTTTACATATATACTTTATACAGTGTGGCCCACTAGTATTCTTTACATAGATACGTCATACAGTGTGTCCCACTATATATTCTTTACATAGATACGTTATACAGTTTGTCCTTCTATTATTCTTTACATAGATACTTCATACAGGTGTCCCACGAGTACATTCATATTTAAAAAGCCTCGATATTGAAGCATTACGATATAAAAAAAATATTCAAATTTGAACATTAAACAGTGATTATAAAGGATACAGGATGGGGGGGGGAGGAGGAGGGCTGGTAGGAAAAGTATAACCAGGCATCTCTAGGGGAGGGATGAGGGGGGAGGATGTAGGGGGAGCTAAAAGACCAGGTGGTTTTAAGCAAATTATAAAACATTAACCAATCCTTCAGTTGGTTTTCATACACCAAACTTAGTACAAATATTGCAGTGTTTAAGTGAGAGTGAGAAGGTATTTAAAAATATTAAATATATTGAAAATATCTAGATAATATGTTTTCAGTTTAAGTGAAAAGTTTAAATTAAAATGTCATTGAAAGTTTGGAAAACATGTTGAAAAAGTGTCAAATTCAGTGAGAATGAATGGAAATGCAGAAAAAGTGTGAAAAGGTTAGGAAAGGGGTTGGAAAGGGGAAATGAGAATGAGTGTAGAAAATAATAAAGGACTAGAGAGAAAACGGATAAAGAATATAGGAATAAGAATAAGAAACGAAAGAATGGAGATGGAGAATAATATGACAAAACAGTTTATACTTCTGGATGAAAGGATAAATAAACAGTTGAAACTTCCGGATGAGAGGATGAGAAAACAAGTGATAATCCCGTATGAAAGTATTAGAAAACAGCTCACAATTCCGGCTGAAAGGATTAGAAAACACCTGACACTTCCGACTGAAAGGAGGAGAAAACAGCTAACACTTCCGACTGAAAGGAGGAGACAGATATTTCCGGATAAAGAGATGAGAGAACAGTTAAAAATCCCGGATGAAAGGATGAGAAGATATCAGATAATCCGGGATGAAAGGATGAGAAGACCCCTGATGTTCATGGATGAAGGGATGATAAGAATGGGGTGTAGTGGATGCCTTTACCAGCTCAAATTCATCCCGAATTTGGGATGGTTGTGGACTAAAATGTGAGTAATAATCCCAGAATCAAATTTTAAAAAAAAGTTTTCATAACAAATGGCAGCAACTAAATTGATTTCATCGAAGAAAATAAGATGAAAATTAGTATTGAAGGTAACAAAGAAGAGGGAAAAAGTATTAAAGGGGGAAGTGAGAAAAAAATTAGATTTTACATTTTCCAAATTAAAACTTTTTGTTGGACTGTAAGTTTTGACTATAAGAGTATAAAAAGCCCATGGTAGATTTGTTGTTGATTTTAAAGATTCAACCCAATTTGCAGATCTTAACCAATCCACTGAAGAAAAAATATACTTTTAAACCATAAACTTATTGTAAATTTAGCTCTGGTACCTCAAACTAAAGTAAATTCCTTAGACATGTTTAATCATAACTCATCTTTTTAAAGAACTATTGAGACAAATGTTTGAAATTCTGAAATTGGAGAGGTTTGCTTTTTTCCATACTTGTACGTAAAATTAGCAAAATTGTAATGTCGAATAAATTTGACCTGCTTCTCCTCGCTAGTTTGCAGTATAATCAATTACATTTGCACTAGAAGACTGCAGATATTTTGTGATGATTCTATGTATTGAGTTTTTACATTTATTTTATAAATATCAACAAAACACTAATATAACATAATAATAAACAGGATAGAGATGATAACTTTTATATTTTAACATTTAAATTTATTTTTAGGTAAGTCTTAAACCACATTTATTTAGTGAGAAGTACACAGAAATCGATATTTATAAATATGAACCAAACAAAAATCAGGATATTTTTATATACTGTAAATACATGTAATTAGTTTTAAACCAAATTACAAACATTCAGCTTTTTCTTTTCAACTTTGCTTTCCTCATCACTTTCAGAGGAATTATCATCAGATTCTGAATCATTTTCCTCAGAAGAAGAGCAGGGATCATCTTCATCATCAGGCTCTTTGGTGTCAGAATCTTCCGTAGTAGTTTCATCAGCCATATCAGTCAATTCTTTCTCCTCTAAATCAGTTTGTGTATATCCTTCTTCATACCTATCATTTTCAACTGTGAAACTTGTAATTATGGGTTGAACATTCTCACGCATTCCATTTACAAGTTGAACATTCATATCAGTGTCATAGTTTGATTGAACACTGTTTACAGTTCCATGGTTCTGTAGCACATTTCCGTTTGTTCCACTTCCATTTACCATATACTGAGGTGCAATGTTCTGTGCTCCATAACTCTGAGGTGCAATGTTCTGTGCTCCATAATTCGTAGGTGCGATGTTCTGTACTTCACAATACTGAGGTGCAATGTTCTGTACTTCATAATTCTGAGGTGCAATGTTCTGTGCTTCATAATTCTGAGGTGCAATGTTCTGTGCTCCATAGTTATGAGGTGCAATGTTCTGTGCTTCATAATTCTGAGTTGCAATGTTCTGTGCTCCATAATTCTGAGGTGCAATGTTCTGTACTTCATAATTCTGAGGTGCAATGTTCTGTACTTCAAAATTCTGAGGTGCAATGTTCTGTGCTTCATAATTCTGAGGTGCAATGTTCTGTGCTCCATAATTCTGAGGTGCAATGTTCTGTGCTCCATAATTCTGAGTTGCAATTTTCTGTACTTCATAATTCTGAGTTGCAATTTTCTGTACTTCAAAATTCTGAGGTGCAATGTTCTGTGCTTCATAATTCTGGCATGCATTGTTCTGTACTTCACAATACTGAGGTACTATGTTTTGTGCTCCATAATTCTGAGGTGCAATATTCTGTAATTCATAATTCTGAGGTGCAATGTTCTGTACTTCATAATTCTGAGATGCAATGTTCTGTGCTCCATAATTCTGAGGAATATTGTTCATTGCTCCATAATTATGAGATGCAATGTTATGTGCTCCATAATTCTGAGGAGCAATGTTCTTTGCTCCATAATTTTGAGGTGCAATGTTCTGTACTTCAAAATTCTGAGGTGCAATGTTCTGTGCTCCATAATTTTGAGGTGCAATGTTCTGTACTTCATAATTCTGAGGTTCAATGTTCTGTGCTCCATAATTCTGAGGTGCAATGTTCTGTGCTCCATAATTCTGAGGTGCAATGTTCTGTGCTTCATAATTAGGAGTTAGATAGCCCTGTGCTCCATAATTTCGAGGTGCAATATTATGTGTTCCGAAATTCTGAGGCATGTTATTCAAAGCTTCAAAATTCTGAGATGCACCGTTCTGTGCTTCATCCTTCTGAGGTGCAACATTCAAAGCTCCATAATTTTGAGGCAAAATGTTCTGTGTTTCATAATTCTGAGGTGAAAGGTTCTGCGCTTCATAATTCTGAGGTATATTGTTCTTTGCTTCATAATTCTGAGGAATGCTGTTTTGTGCTTCATAATTCTGAGGTGCAATGTTCTGTTCTTCATAATTCTGGGGTATATTGTTCTGAGCTTCATTATTGTGAGGAATACTATTCTGTGCTTCATAATTCTGAGATATATTGTTTTGTGCTCCATAATTCTGAGATATATTGTTCTGTGCTTCATAATTTTGAGATATATTGTTTTGTGCTCCATAATTCTGAGGCGCAATGTTCTGTGCTTCATAATTTTGAGGCGCAATGTTCTGTGCTTCATAATTCTGAAGAATATTTTTCTGTACTACAAAGTTCTGAGTCTCAGTATTTTGCAAAGCATGATTCTGAGCTGAAGTATTCTGATCTTGATAGTTCTGGTTGACCAGGCTAGGATTTGATGGATCACATATCTTCTCCTTGTTAACTGTGTTTATAGTAGATTCCTTTTTTCCCTCATTGAAAGCACCCACCTGTTGTATCTGCTTGCTGTCTAAATATTAAATTAAAATGTTCATTAAGATCTATTAAGACCATAAACTTGTCACCCAAAGCATTGAACGAAGTTGACTCTATGCAACAAACTCGAATTTTTTAATCCATTTAACTTTGCGATCTGAGTCCGAATTTAATGAATTTGAGCCGCATCTAAAATTCGCGAAAAACCGGTTTCAATTGAGCCCCGGCTTGAATCTTGAAACATTGATTACAATTAAGTGGAACCAGCCATATTCAGATGTCTCTCAAATTTAAGCCGCGGCTCAAATTCTTTAAATTCGGCCTCTGATGGTGTAAACCTTTGACATTTCAAACTAAGAATACTTAATCTCACAGAATTTATAGTTTGAAAGGTGTAAGTTCTGACAACATTGGATTACTAAGACAATGGGATCATGAAATTGGAATTTGTGTCAAAAAACTCAATTTCTTTCGGCCACAAATGTTTGACAATCTCTGACATTATTTCTCGTAAAACCTGAACTTTTTAATGAACTACACCGTACATTTATAAAAAAAATGGCTAAAACTATATATTGAAGCAAAAAAATGTCAACTTTAAACTAACAAAAAGTCGTGAGGATTAATTTTTGTTGATTCTTGATTTCATTTTCGAACATATATTGGTTTTGAAACAATACCACTTTTCAGCTCATGTCTCGTTTTTGTAACATATCCTGGTTTTCAGACAATTACTTGAATTCATATCAATGTCAATTTTCAAGCATTAGAATATATATGTATAGAAATACAAAAATATAAAAATAAACTATTTTTATAATTTATAAATCATAATAGCAATGAGAAATCAAAAAATTAATATTGTTTTGTTCTCACAATAAAGATTGTTAATTATAATGCGGGAAATTGTTTATTATAAATGCGGGTACTTAAATCAACTTAATTCTCTTATTTACCAAATAAAAAGTGAAACTAAGATTTTGGAAATAATTCAGCAGTTAATTTATTCATATGATAATTTTTACTTTCTTTGATTTATTTTGTAAGTTATGCATGTGAGCTTTGTTTGAATTGTGGATTATACTCAAAAACCGGAAAATGGGTTTTGTCTCGAAACCGCGACAATGATTTAAATTCAGGATATGTTCGAAAATTGGAAACCTAACATTGTCTTGAAAACGGTCAAGGGTTTTAATATAAAAAGAACTACTTTTATGATTTTGTTTTCCGAAAATAGCTTTAATTTGATAATTGTTGTCATCGTCATGCTTAATAAAATGTTTTATTATCGACTTTTACTCTTTAGATATAGGCCGGGATCCTAAAAACCCAGTCTTTCAATTTGTGCTCATTTCTAACACTAAGTGTTAGTTTTGTAAATAATATTCCGTAGAATGGAAAGATTATGTTTGATATTGTATATCCTTGTTCAAGAACTAGAAAACAAACGCACCATGTCTCATCTAATTACAAAACATTAACAATTTTAAACAATTCAGACAAAAAGTGCTTTATCATTGTATAAACTATAATACATAATATTTTAAAACAAATTTTTTAAATTGTTAAATTTCCTTGAGAAGGTTTGGGAAAAGCTGTCCATAACAAAGAGTCTGAAAAAAGAGAAAAAAAAGTTGAGGAATATTTTTTGTAAACCTTTGCTTTCTAATCTGAATAATTATACACTGTAATATGGTTTTTGTAAACCTTTGCTTTCTAATCTGAATAATTAAACACTTTTCGTTTTAATATGGTTTTGAAACAATCCTATTCATTTTTCTATCTAAAATGTATTTTTTTTAATAGCAGGGCATTTATATGTGACTCTCGGATTTAAGTCTAGCAGAGCTGAGGAAGGAAATTGAGATTGTTTTATCTGTTAAAGGGTACCGTTGTGAATCAGGCATGCAACGCTTTAGGGTTCATAGACGTTGACAGTTCCTTTACATAGTTACGTTGACAGCCCCTTTAAATAGCTATGTTGACAGTTCCTTTATATAGCTACGTTGACAGTCCCTTTGAATAGCTATGTTGACAGTCTCTTTAAAAGCTATGTTGACAGTCTCTTTAAATAGCTACGTTGACAGTCCCTTTTAATAGCTATAGTGACAGTCCTTTTAAATAGCTATGTTGACAGTCCCTTTAAATAGCTATGTTGACAGTCCCTTTAAATAGTTAGGTTGACAGTCCCTTTAAATAGCTATGTTGCAATCCCTTGCTAATAGCTATGTTCACAGTCCCTTTAAATAGCTACGTTGACAGTTCTTTTAAATAGCTATGTTGACAGTCACTTTAAATAGCTATCTTGACAGTCCCTTTAAATAGCTATGTTGTAGTCCCTTGCTAATAGCTATGTTCACAGTCCCTTTAAATAGCTACGTTGACAGTTCTTTTAAATAGCTATGTTTACAGTCCCTTTAAATAGCTATGTTGACAGTCCCTTTAAATAGCTATGCAAATCACAATAGATCAATTCTCTTAATGAAACATAACTCTTCTAGAAGTACACATTTTTTATTGTTTTGGCATTTTGTTTCTTTTAAATGGGCTGAACAATCTAGTATTTTAATTTGTTCAGACTCAAATTCAAGAGGTACTTTACTTACAGGGTTACCTATAAAGAATGAGACTTCAGAGACGACTTTACAAAATGTATACGGTCTTATTCCTTACATTTATGATTCCCCGCAACTGAAACCTTGTTTTTTTCGTTGCCTAATATGCAATAAAAGACTAGATTTCAAACAGAAGACATAATTTAAACTTTAAATCGTCATGTTTAAAGAGATTCAGATCGTCTTTACAGTCTCATCCTTTGTGGGTAACTCTGTAAATATAATTGTTTCTAAACAAAAAGTAAATAAATAAATTAAAGAATACCTGAGCAGGAAAAATTACTCGGCTCTCGAACGTAAAATTGAATCTTTTAATTAGGTGGAACCTCTGATGTTTGTTAACCTTCGATAAAAAAAAATTAGGAACGTAGTCAATGCATGTTTTATGCGTGGAATTGAAGGAATATTGCAATTCAATTCCTGATTTTGAGGAACCACAAAAACTAGTTTAATATGTATAATCGGGCTAATTGCTGCTACCTGATTGAAATCATTAAGCTTCATGAATCTCTCCATTTTTCTCCAGAATTTCTAAGTAAATAATTTTGCGGTTTTCTACCTCCGATCTGGCGGATTTCTTGGCAGAGAAATATTCAACTTAGCATATTTCTGGTCAGAAAAGATGTTTTCTTGCTTCGAAATAATATTAAATATTTTGTTTTACTTTTTAATTTGATTTATGCTACACTTGTATTATTTACAACGCTGGACCAGAAAAAAACTGAAAATATTTTTGAATAACTACATTTGTTTAAATAATATTAAATATTTTGTTTTACTTTTTAATTTGATTTATGCTACACTTGTATTATTTACAACGCTGGACCAGAAAAAAACTGAAAATATTTTTGAATAACTACATTTTTTTAAACTGAGTTCTTTATCTATTTGCATAATATTTGTATGAATAGCTAAGTAATGTATCGATTATATTTGTCCTGTTCAAATCTTTCGTTTTAAAGATTTGAAAATTTTAAAGTGCTTAAAATTAATAAATAAATAAATAATGTATTTTAAACTAAATTTATTGTTACATAACATTTTATGGTCAAAGTTGTCGAAAAATTAAAATCTGTTACAGTATTTGTGTACATAAATAATCTTTCTCTAGTTTGAGGACTAACAGAGTCTAGAGACTGTTTTTGAGTTAGCCCATTGATAAAATATTTAAAATAGGGATTTATTAAGTCGGGCATTGTTGATTAAAAATGTGGTTTAGAAGTAAAACTAATAAGTTTAAAAACTGTTTTTATTGTCTGTTTTTAATATGACGCATATTTTTGCATAGACTTAAACCATTTTTATTTTATAAACTAAGATATAATGAAAATTGTTTGTATGAATAAACTCCAAGTTTAAGAATTTAATTTATTTTTAAATGGCGGAAATTTAATTTGCAATTTGCATATTTCGGTTTATTAACTAAATGAATACATTCATTTTTTTAAAATATAAAATGTTTCCTTTTATCTCTTTAATATCTCTATCTATCTATCTATCTATCTATCTATCTATCTATCTATCTATCTATCTATCTATCTATCTATCTTTCTATCTATCTATATATATATCTGTCTATCTTTTTTTCTAACAATCTGTCTATCTGACTTTCTATTGAATTACATAGTAAGATGGTATGGTCCACGGAAACGTTGATGTTTCTCTTGAACAGGTTTCTAGACATGCTGCCCGTGCCCCAACAATCTGCTTAATATACTTAGATGTTGAGAAATTCAAGATAGAGTCTACCTGCGGGTTGCGAATATATTTTTGAAAATTTCTGAAAAAACATCCCTTTTCTGATTAAAAGTTGTTGCTATTGCAAGGTAAGAAAGGTAATTTTTTATTTATTAAATATAAAACCCGCAACCGTTCTTATCTAAATTGAAGACCTGGGCAAATTTTAGTCAGTGTATTGTCTGCCTTCAACAATAGGTGGTGTAGGCAGTTGTTATCTATCTATCTATCTCCACACTTGAGTGAGCTTAACGGGTGTATGTGTAGCTAGCGTAAAACGACTACAATATAGTGAAGTTCTAACTAAACGTGATTAGAGTGACTAAAGGTGAAAATACGATGAATACCCGTCAAAACTCTTTTTGTTCAATGTTTAATCCTAAATTGGGTCAAAAATGGGCAAAGACTTCGAGAGACTGAAAAGCTTTCCGCCTACGGCTAACATTTTTTAATATGAAGCATTATTTTTTATGTCAAAACTTTTAAACCAGTAAACGATTGTCGAATTAAGTTAGTTAACACTAAATACTGTGTTAATTGTTAATTGTTAATGCTGAAAACAATTATTTCCCCCACCCGGCCCCCAAATGTATTGTTTTATTTATTCCATTGAGTAGTTTCGGCTTTCATTGAACTCCTTTTAATATAAATTTTTATGATTGTTTCTAAGAATTACGTATGTGCAAAATTTTTGCACATTTGCGTTCTGAATTTAATTATTAGATTTTGACTAGAGACTGGTTTAATTTGCAAGCCTGCAAAAAGAGTGCAAAACCTAGAATCAGTTTGAATTTGTTGCTTCATTAGATTTCAACTATTTGATCTTTTTAATATTCATTTTAAAGAACAATCAAATCATGTTTAAAAACGATATTTGAATGAAATAAAATAGTTTTTGCACAAAATAAAATAATTTTAGATAGTTTTGAATATACAAAAATGCTAATTTATTTTCTTAAATGTAGAACAAACAATGGGTTAAAAAACATATTCTTAAAAAATACTGTCTCTGAAATTAACGGTTTCACGGGAATACATATATATTTTTCTAAGACACTCTGTAGATTCTTGAACTTAATTACATATTCTAAGACACCCTGTATTATCCTGAACTTAATTACTACTATTCTGAGACACCCTGTAGTATCTTGAACTTAATTACTACTATTCTAGGACACTCTGTAGTTTCTTGAACTTAATTAATACTATTCTGGGACACTCTATAGTATTTTGAACTTAATTTCTACTATTATATGACATCCTTTAGATTCTAGAATTTAATTACTAATATTCTGTGACACTGTAGTATCCTGAACTTAATTGCTACTATTCTGAGACACCATGTAGTATATTTAACTTAATTACTACTATTCTGGGAAACTCTAGAGTGTCTTGAACTTAATTACTAATATTCTCAGACACACTGTAGTATCTTGAAATTAATTACTACTATTGTGAGACACCCTGCAGTATCTTAAACTTAAATACTACTATTCTGAGACACCCTGTAGTATCTGGGTGGGGTGAACACATCTGTTTTAAAAACACCTACGTGACTCCATCCAAGTTTTGTCAGAGCAAGATAAACTTTATAAAATTATAAAAAGAATATTTCCAATGTGTCCACCTCCCTCTAATTGTCCAATGTGTCTACCTTCCTCTAATTGTCCAATGTGTCCTCTAATTGTCCAATGTGTCCCCCTCCCTCTAGTTGACCAATGTATCCCCATCCCTCTAATTGTCCAATGTGTCCACCTCCCTCTAATCGTCCAATGTGTCCCCCTCCCTCTAATTGTCCAATGTGTCCCCTTCCCTCTAATTGTCAAATGTATCCACTTCCCTCTAATTGTCCAATGTGTCCCCCTTCCTCTAATTGCCCAATGTGTCCCCCTTCCTCTAATTGTCAAATGTGTCCCCTTCTCTCTAATTGTCCAATGTGTCCACCTCCCTCTAATTGTCCAATGTGTTTACCTCCCACTAATTGTCCAATGTGTCTACCTCCCTCTAATTGCCCAGTGTGTCCCCCTTCCTCTAATTGTCCAATGTGTCCACCTCCCTCTAGTTGTCCAATGTGTCCACCTCCCTCTAGTTGCCTAATGTGTCCCCCTCCCTTTAGTTGTCCAATGTGTCCCCCTCCCTCTAATTGTCCAATGTGTCCCCATCCCTCTAATTGTCCAATATGTCCCCCTCCCTATAATTGTCCAATATGTCCCCCTCCCTATAATTGTCCAATATGTCCCCCTCCCTATAATTGTCCAATATGTCTACCTCTCTAATTGTCCAATATGTCTACCTCTCTGATTATCCAATGTGTCCTTTAGCTATCCAATGTTACCTTTAGCTATCCAATGTGTCCCCTTCCCTCTAATTGCTTGGCACCCCTCACCCCGACCCAGTTTATTTTAACAATCTAACATTTGCATAAGTTTTCTTTAATTTCATATTTTATTAATATTTATGGCTTAGTTATTTTCTTGCCAATCCTTTTTTCGAAAGGAGAGGATTAAGGTTTTTAAACCTACAATAGCTAAATCTTTCCCTCCTCCCTCCTACATGTGACAAGGAATAACGGTTGGGGGGGAGGGGGGAGGGGCGTTTCTTCTTTAATCATTACGTGGGATTAAAGGGTGTTTTACGCACCATAATTCTAAGATTTAGAATCAAAATTATTCCATAACAATTTATTCTTCTCATTCAATGTTTTTTTCGTAAATTATATCAAATCTTACCAGTCCACTTTATACATCAAACCGTTATTTGTAAGATATCTAAGCAAATAGTAAATTGAGGTTCAGTTTATCTTTTCAATATTCAAATTTAAAAAAAAATTATTTCTCAATAAATGCATGACGACATTTATTTCGAAACCTGACGACAACTTTAATTACAATGATTTATGCTCAGCCGAATATTAATCACTAAAGAAATGGGTGGGGGGGGGTACATTAGGACTGGGCTTATTTTACCGATTTCGATCCATTCGTTATCGTAGACGTATACTTAGCGGATAGGTTAGTTTCAATCAAAAAGCGTTCGTTATTGACAAAAAAATAAACGTTTAGTTCAAACAATGAATTTGTTTCCGTTGTTAACGGAGTTTGCCGTTAATGTTCATAAATTTTGTTAGTAAACAAAAATGGCCTAGTCCTACATCTTACAACTATCCTATGGAGAGATTTTGTTCAAATTAAAAAAAAAAAAAAAAAAGTTTGTTTGTCGTAAAAAGACGCTGAGTTATTTTCAAAAACTCTGAGTTTCTCATCCCTTTACCTTTGCAACCAGATGTGCCATTGATACTTCAAGCTATGTTAAATAAAATAGTCAAAAGTAAAATTACATTTACGCCACCAGGTTGAAAAGATATATGAATAAGAAATTTTAAATAAGAGATAAATGAATCAGAAAATTTTATAAAAAAGATATTTAAATAAGAAAATAATATAAAAGATATATGGATAAGAAAATTTTATATAAAAGGTTAAAGAATAAGATAAGTAAAAAACATTGGATTCTTCAAATTTTCAAAAAGTTTCGTTCGTGAACCTAACTTATCCCAGCCCTAACTACACCACTTTGAAAGGTGCTAAAATCTGAATTTACGGCATTTAAATGGACCCTAAATGAACCCTAAATGGACCCTAAGCCTAATTTTAAGTTTGAGAACAGAATAGTTTCGAGTCTATGAATTCGAATGAATGAACTGTTGATTGTAAAGGGGTAACAAGAAGTTGTCCTAACTATATCAAACTAAGCCCCCCTCCCCACCCTCCACACACCTGCATATTCCCATACATATAAAATTAACTACTTTTCAGATCAAAACCTTGTCCTTGGTTGTATGGATTAGCAATTC